TTTAAAGAATATTTTTTCAAGGACCAACAGAACGTGGATTTTTTAAAGAATATTTTTTCAAGGACCAACAGAACGTGGATTTTTTAAAGAATATTTTTTCAAGGACCAACAGAACGTGGATTTTTTAAAGAATATTTTTTCAAGGACCAACAGAACGTGGATTTTTTAAAGAATATTTTTTCAAGGACCAACAGAACGTGGATTTTTTAATAAATATTTTTTTCAAGGACTAACAGAACGTGGATTTTTTAATAAATATTTTTTTCAAGGACTAACAGAACGTGGATTTTTTAAAGGATATTTTTTTTTTCAAGGACCAACAGAACGTGGATTTTTTAAAGAATATTTTTTCAAGGACCAACAGAACGTGGATTTTTTAAAGAATATTTTTTCAAGGACCAACAGAACGTGGATTTTTTAAAGAATATTTTTTCAAGGACCAACAGAACGTGGATTTTTTAATAAATATTTTTTTCAAGGACTAACAGAACGTGGATTTTTTAATAAATATTTTTTTCAAGGACTAACAGAACGTGGATTTTTTAAAGGATATTTTTTTTTTCAAGGACCAGAAGAAACGTGGATTTTTTAAAGAATATTTTTTCAAGGACCAACAGAACGTGGATTTTTTAAAGAAAATTTTTTCAAAGACCAACAGATCAAACGTGTCTTTTTAAAGAATTTTTTTTTTAAAGACCAACAGACCAAACGTGGATTTTTTAAAAACGTGGATTTTTTAAAGAATATTTTTTCAAAGACCAACAGACCAAACGTGGATTTTTTAAAAACGTGGATTTTTTAAAGAATATTTTTTCAAAGACCAACAGACCAAACGTGGATTTTTTAAAAACGTGGATTTTTTAAAGAATATTTTTTCAAAGACCAACAGACCAAATGTGCATTTTTTAAAAACGTGGATTTTTTAAAGAATATTTTTTCAAAGACGAACAGACCAAATGTGGATTTTTTAAAAACGTGGATTTTTTAAAGAATATTTTTTCAAAGACCAACAGACCAAATGTGGATTTTTTAAAAACGTGGATTTTTAAAGAATATTTTTTCAAAGACCAACAGACCAAACGTGGATTTTTTAAAGAATATTTTTTCAAAGACCAACAGACCAAACGTGGATTTTTTAAAGAATATTTTTTCAAAGACCAACAGACCAAACGTGGATTTTTTAAAAACGTGGATTTTTTAAAGAATATTTTTTCAAAGACCAACAGACCAAATGTGGATTTTTTAAAGAATATTTTTTCAAAGACCAACAGACCAAACGTGGATTTTTTAAAGAATATTTTTTCAAAGACAAACAGACCAAACGTGGCTTTTTAAAGAATATTTTTTCAAAGACCAACAGACCAAACGTGGATTTTTTAAAGAATATTTTTTCAAAGGCCAACAGACCAACGTGGATTTTTTAAAGAATATTTTTTCAAAGACAGACCAAACGTGGATTTTTTAAAGAATATTTTTTCAAAGACCAACAGACCAAACGTGGATTTTTTAAAGAATATTTTTTCAAAGACCAACAGACCAAACGTGGATTTTTTAAAGAATATTTTTTCAAAGACCAACAGACCAAACGTGGATTTTTTAAAGAATATTTTTTCAAAGACCAACAGACCAAACGTGGATTTTTTAAAGAATATTTTTTCAAAGACCAACAGAACGTGGATTTTTTAAAGAATATTTTTTCAAGGACCAACAGAACGTGGATTTTTTAAAGAATATTTTTTCAAGGACCAACAGAACGTGGATTTTTTAAAGAATATTTTTTCAAGGACCAACAGAACGTGGATTTTTTAAAGAATATTTTTTCAAGGACCAACAGAACGTGGATTTTTTTAAAGAATATTTTTTCAAGGACCAACAGAACGTGGATTTTTTAAAGAATATTTTTTCAAGGACCAACAGAACGTGGATTTTTAAAGAATATTTTTTCAAGGACCAACAGAACGTGGATTTTTTAAAGAATATTTTTCAAGGACCAACAGAACGTGGATTTTTTAAAGAATATTTTTTCAAGGACCAACAGAACGTGGATTTTTTAAAGAATATTTTTTCAAGGACCAACAGAACGTGGATTTTTTAAAGAATATTTTTTCAAGGACCAACAGAACGTGGATTTTTTAAAGAATATTTTTTCAAGGACCAACAGAACGTGGATTTTTTAAAGAATATTTTTTCAAGGACCAACAGAACGTGGATTTTTTAAAGAATATTTTTTCAAGGACCAACAGAACGTGGATTTTTTAAAGAATATTTTTTCAAGGACCAACAGAACGTGGATTTTTTAAAGAATATTTTTTCAAGGACCAACAGAACGTGGATTTTTTAAAGAATATTTTTTCAAGGACCAACAGAACGTGGATTTTTTAAAGAATATTTTTTCAAGGACCAACAGAACGTGGATTTTTTAAAGAATATTTTTTCAAGGAAGAAAAGACGTGGATTTTGTAAAGAATATTTTTTCAAGGACCAACAGAACGTGGATTTTTTAAAGAATATTTTTTCAAGGAAGAAAAGACGTGGATTTTGTAAAGAATATTTTTTCAAGGACCAACAGAACGTGGATTTTTTAAAGAATATTTTTTCAAGGACCAACAGAACGTGGATTTTTAAAGAATATTTTTTCAAGGACCAACAGAACGTGGATTTTTTAAAGAATATTTTTTCAAGGACCAACAGAACGTGGATTTTTAAGATTTTTTCCAGGATCACAAAGTCAATGTTCGTGGATTCTTAAAGAACATTTTTCAAGGACCAACAGAAAGTGGATTTTTTAAAGAATATTTTTTCAAGGACCAACAGAAAGTGGATTTTTTAAAGAATATTTTTTAAGGACCAACAGAAAGTGGATTTTTAAAAGAATATTTTTTCAAGGATCAACAGAACGTGTTTTTTTTAAAGAATATTTTTTCAAGGATCAACAGAACGTGGATACTTTAAAGAATATTTTTTTAAGGACGGATGTTCGTGAATTTTTTTAAAGAATACTTTTTTAAGGACGGATGCTCGTGCTTTTTTTTAAACAATATTTTTTCAACGACCAACAGAACGTGGATTTTTTAAATTTTTTAAAGAATATTTTTCAGGGACCAACAGATCAATGCTCGTGGATTTTTTAAAAAAACAGTTTTTGATGACCAAGAGTCCAATGTATGTAATTTTTGTAAGGATATTTTGCAAGGACCAACAGACCAATGCTCGTGGATTTTTTAAAGAACATTTTTCGAGGACCAATAGACCAATGTATATAGTTTTTGTAAGGATATTTTTCAAGGACTAACAGACCAATGCTCTTCGATTTTATAAAGAACATTTTTCGAGGACCAAGAGACAAATGAATGTAGTTTTTGTAAGGATATTTTTCAAGGACCAACAGACCAATGCTTTTAAGGAACATTTTTCGAGGACCAAGAGGCAAATGTTTGTAGTTTTTGTTAGGATATTTTTCAAGGAAACGGAGATCATCGATTATGGATTTTTAAATTTTTTCAAGTACCCACAGACTAAAAGAACGGTAATAGTTATATTTAAAAAAAAAAAATAATAATAAAAAAAATCCAAAGATCGGATTGATAGAGGCTAACAGCACAATAAGAGGTTATTTTTAAGGATATTTTTTCAAGGACCAACAGACAAATATACTTGGATTTTTCAAAGATTTTTTAAGAAGCAGCGGACCAATAAACTTGGATTTATAAACAGAGTTTTTTAAGGACCAACTGATGATTTAACGTGGACTTTTAATTTTCCAAAGACATAAAACGTGGACTTTTCAAGAATAATTTGTCAAGGACCAAAAATGTGATTTTTTTAAGTCTTAAAGTACTTTTCATGAATATTTTTTTAAGGACCTAAAATTTGGTCTTTTATGAACATTTTTTCTAGTACCTAAAACGTGGACTTTTTAAAAATATTTTTCAAGAACCTTAAATGTGGACTTGTTAAAAATATTTTTTCAAGGACTTAAAACTTGGACTTTTTAAAATATTTTTTTTTAAGAACCTAATACATGGACTTTTTATAAATATTTTTCGAAGGTCCTAAGGCGTGGACTTTTTATGAATATATATTGAAGCACTTAAAACGTGGACTTTTTATGAATATTTTTTTAAAGACTTAAAACGTGGACTTTTTGTGAATATTTTTTCAAAGACTTAAAACGTGTATTTTTCAAGGACCTAAAATGTGGACATTTTATGAATATTTTTCAAGGACTTTAAACGTGTTTTTTTAAGAATCTCTTTTGATGAGCATAAAACGTGGACTTTTTAAAATTTTTTTTTCAAGGACCTAAAACGTGGACTTTTTAAAAATATTTATTCAAGGACCTAATTCGTGGACTTTTTATGAATATTTTTTCAAGGTCCTAAAACGTTGACTTTTTATGAATGTTTTTTCAAGGACCTAAAACGTGGGCTTGTTATAAATATTGTTCAAGGACTTAAAACGTGGACTTTTTATGAACATTTTTTCAAGGACCTAACACCTGGACTTTTTATGAAAATTTTTACAAGGATTTAAAACTTTTTAAAAATATTTTTTCAAGGACCTAAAGCGTGGAATATTTATGAATATTTTTTCAAGAACCTTAAACGTAGACTTTTTATATATGTATATATGAAATTATAAAATTGACCAAATTATGGGGATTTTCGAGAATTATGACCTGTGGGTAATTAGGAAAAATTTTAAATATTTTATTATCTTTTATGACCTGGGTTAAAAAATAATCCAGTGGCGTCCACGATTATATTGGCTCAATAAAATTACCTAATAAGAACAGTAATTAGCGAAAGTAATTTTTTTTCCCAAAATCAAACACGTGTACAAATTTACTTATTTATTTAGGTAACAAATATATACGATAACTGTTGAAAATAAATATTTTTCTCTTTTTTAATTTAATTTGTAGCCCTGAAAAGGGCTGTTAGATAGTATGTTTTCGAATATCGAAAATATTGTGGAAAAAGTAATCTTTCTGGGAAAAATTACTTCTTGGCGGCGGTTTTCTTAGCAGCTGGCTTCTTTGCTGCTGCGGCCTTTTTGGGCTTAGCAGCTGCAGTTTTTGCCTTGGGTGCCTTTGGTTTAGTGGCAGATGCTTTGGCGGCGGTCTTTGCTGGTTTAGCTTTAACTGTACCGGTTTTCTTGGCAGCCTTTGCCTTTGTTTTGTCGGCCTTCTTCTTTTCAGCGGTCTTCTTGGCGGCAGAGGGTTTTTTGGCAGCTGCCTTCTTCTCACCAGCGGCCTTTTTAGGGGCGGCAGCCTTCTTCTTTTTGTCACCAGCGGCCGGGGCCTTCTTCTTCTTTTCAGCAGTCTTAGCTTTGGGTTCCTTGGAGGCCGAAGCTGACAATTTGAATGAACCAGAAGCACCCTTACCTTTAGTTTGGATCAATTTTCCACTGGCAACGGCACCTTTCAAGTACTTCTTGATGAAGGGGGCCAATTTTTGGGCATCTACTTTGTAGGTGCTGGCCAAGTATTTCTTGATGGCGGGCAATGATGAACCTCCACGTTCCTTCAGGGTCTTGATGGCGGCATCAACCATTTGCTGGGTTGGAGGGTGGGTAGGGGCAGCTGATGGCTTCTTTGCTTTGGCAGCGGCTTTTTTTGGTGCCTTTTTCTCAACAGCGGCAACTGGGGAGGCGGTGGCTTCAACAACGGCGGCGTCAGACATGGTTATTCACTGTTTGGTTTATATTTCACTGTTAACACAAATACACTCACAAATTTATGTGTACTATTATTTTTGTTAGCGGCGAGCTAAAGTGTAGGTACATCGAAAAGATGAGATGTGCATAGTAGTCAATTGGTAAATTTTTCGAAAGATTGTGTGGAAGCGTGTTTAATTTTTTACAAAAGTTTTCGGAGAAATTAAATTTTCCTGAAGAAGCTTTGATAATTTTCACTAAAAATGTTTTATACCTTTAAAGTATAGATTTCAGGCTATGTTTTAAAGAAAGTTTGGTGTAATTATCACTTGCCGTTTGTGAATTATAAACGTTTAACTTGGCAGATTATAAAAATGTAATCACAAATTTCCAACTAAAATTTAAAAAAATCAAATTTTTTACGAAAATTTAATTGAAAATTCTTTTTGAAAATGTAGCCTGATATGTTTACTTTAGGATCAAAGAAAAATATCGATGAAATTTCATATTTTACTATGTGAAAAAATTGAAATTATTATGTGGTCTATGACAGCAGAAATCCTCTTGTTGGCATAATTTCAATGAAGAAAAGTTTTTCTTGAAATAAATTTGAAAGCTCAAATCTTAATAAGTTTTATAAAAATTTCTTAAAAAACATTTCAGAATTTGTATATTTACATCAAAATATAACATTATTCACAAAAAGTCATAATTTACGGGGAAAAGTTACAAAATCCCCAGAATACTTCATACTACCAATGTACAGGCATTCACTGACAAACGGTTATGTATTTTCATTTTGCAATATTTTTTATGAAATTTAACATAATTTGTTCTAAAATTTCTTAAAAGTAGTATTAGAAGCCATTTTCTACATTATTTTGTGAAATTTTAGTTAATTTTCTGAAAAAATATTCCCAAAAATAAATTTCTCTTTACAGGCAAATATCACCTAGAACACTTGGAAATGTCATGAAATTAATTGCGTTTTACAAAAATTATTTTCGATCAACTTCAAAGGTAGATATTATTGGCATTTCTTTTTATAATACTTTTATTTATATTTTAGATCAAAATTCTCAACAAATCAATTATTTTCTTCTTCGATTTTGGAAAATAATAAATTATTACCAATTTCTCTAAATACATCTGGCAAAAATAATTGTGTAATTCCATACGGAGAAATTCATATTCAAATCTCTTAAAATGCGTATAAAACATTTAAAAATTTAGCTGAAAAGGAAAAAAACATATTTCATACATCATTCCTGAAAAAAATAAATAGGAGGGACATTTTAGCTGGAAATTTTTAAAATTCAGATGAAATAATTCTTAGAAATTAAAGGCAGAGAATTTTTTCCCGTTAAATTGAATAGTCCACAACAGAAAAAAATGATCGAAGGGGAATAAAATGAGAGAAATAGACAAATTTCGCGCCAAAAATCATAAAGAGAGCAATTTTTTGTTTAACGGGAAAAGGAAAAAAACAAAATGGACAAAAAAAAAATCCCGTTAGCAAAATGTATGTGGTGGTTGTTTTTATGAGTCATAGCATTTTTTTCGAAGAGGGAGTACAAAAATGATAATAATTTTGCAAATTAAAGGAAATTATCAATCTTCTTGGAAACAATAAAAAATGGGCAAATTTAGGAATCACAGAAAAAGGAAAAACAAAGAAAGAATACTAAACTCAATAATCTCCACAATTTAATGATTTTTGTCTCGACTGTTTCTTTTTCATCCAACAAGCCTAAAAAGTAAATGGGAAAACCCAAAGAAAATCTAGGGCTAATCTTTAGGGGATTTTGATTTTTTTGTTTCGTTTTGTTGAGAAGACGCATCAAAGCATCATCATCAGGACAACAATATACCATTGAAATACGTGTGTATGTAACATTGTAAATATTCACACACGTATACACTCACAAGACATCGACACTGTGACCCACAAAATAAAGAAGAAAAAAAATTGCCACCACGTTTCTTGTTTTTCTTCTTGTTTTTGTCCTTGTTGTTGTTAATCCATAAAGATTTTTTGTAAATGTTTATGTTTGACACATATTCAAAGACAGATTTGTAAGATGAGAGACAGAAGACGAAAAAAAAAAAACACAGAATACACGAATAGATATTCCGTCAAATGACAAGACGAAAAAACTAAATTTACCCGCACACACAGATACCTACACGAGCACTGCAGGTATTTGATCCCTATTCATACACATACATTTTTTTGGGAGACTTTAAGACCTGCTAACCCAAAAGCACAATCTGTTTTCCGTTTTCTTGATTTCTACCATTTTACCTTACCACATCATCTTCACCATCATCGTCAATGATGGTTTAGTGAGAAACATATGACTGTGTGTGTGTGTTCAGGGGTTTCACTAAATAGCCCTCTTCGTAAATAGCGATAAGCAGCTTATGAGCTGTTTGCTAAACTTTTTATGCTTGTATTTCCTTGAAAATCTTCATGAATTTCCAGCGATAAATTCTTAATATTTTCTTGCGGTGTTTTTTTTTGCTGGTTTCAATATCCTTGGGATTTGAATTTGAATAAACTTTTCACACCAACCGGCTTTCGGAAAAGTCAAGTTTGTCAAAGTTTTCTAAGGGTACTACATATTTAAAGAGCTAAGCTAAGGTGAAATTTTAAGACGGTGAAAAGACAATGTAAAACGTTGCCGTATGTCACCCTATTGATGGCCATCACTTGACAACATCAGATAGAAGTGGATACTGGGATTCAATTATGGAAGCCGTCTGGGATTTTTTGGAACTTAATTGAGAAGGACAATTTTTCGATAGTTCAATTGAGACAACTATGAACAAGATAATAATTTGAATCAAGAAAGAAATTTATTGCCGAAATTTGCAAGGAGAACGCCTGATTAGTCCATGTTTGGATCCAAGAATTTACAACAAAAATATCGACAGGTGCGATCCACCCTTAAAAATCGTAGCATTAAGAGAAAGTGATGAATTCAAAATCATAACAATTTTTTTTTTTAAAACGTGAACAACCGAAGCATTGAAGAAAGACTAAAATTCCAACAAAATTTTTAAATATTATTAGGAAATTAAGAGGTGGGGGGAGGTTGATAATTGAAATCAACCACACCTAATTCTTAAAAAAAACAAGCTAAACAGTATCCATAGGTTCTACCTTCAGCCAATGTTCGATTATTTAAGTACAGGGTGAGATAAAAAAAACCGGCAACAAAGTCGAACGCCACAATTTTTACATTCTTTTTTAAATTTCATTGAATGAAAGTCAAAAATGTCGGAAATAGTATCAAATTTTAGAATAAGTTTCGATTTGTGCGTATTGGTCACCTTTGGCAAGAATTATGGCCTTCGAACGGCCAATAAAACCGTCACACGCTGCCCGCATGTTGCTCTGCGGTATTTTGGCCCATTCCCGAGGAAGCGTTTGGTTCAGGTGATCGATACTTTGGTATTGCTTAGTGCCAGCCTTGCTTTTCAAAATACTCCAGACACAATAGTCCAACGGATTGGTATACGGAGATTTTGATGGCCATTGTGCACTGGAAATGAAGCGAGGAACCTCATTTTGTAACCATTCTTTGCGTGCCCAAAGCTTTAATATAGCCTCCAGAATATTTTTGCGATAATATTCGGCATTTATTCTGATGCCATGGTCGATTAATACGAGCGGAGAGCGACCATCGGCTGTTATTGCGGCCCACACCATAACCATGGCCGGCGCTTGAGTTCTGGTGGCCAACCGACGGTGCACATTTTCAGCTGACCTCTTTGGCAAGTAAACACGATAATTTTGTTTGTTTCCGAACTGCTGGACAACGAATTCTTTCTCATAGGAGAAAACCAAATTCGGTAGTTCACCACTTTTGACCAAGTTCATAGCTCTTTGAGCTTATTAGCTCTTTTGAATCTATTTTCTTTCTGTTGCGGTGTAAGTTCTTGCTTTTTGGAACTTCAATGGCTTTACCCCGAGTTCATTTCTCAATATTTGCCGAATGGAATATTGAGAAATGTTCAGCTCACGAGCCATTTTTCGGCCACTACTACGCGGGTTTCGATTAAGTCGCTTCTTCACTTTTCGAACCATTTCTGCTGATGTTTTCTGTTTTCTTCCATCCACTTCCGTGACGTCGGGCTACTCTACCAGTATCACGGTAACGAGCGATGGTACGAGATACAAAAGACTTAATGACATTTAAATGCTGGAGTGTTCTAACGATAGCCTCTTGTAGTTTTCCAGCCAAATATAAGGAAATCACACTATCACGCTTGAATTCCATCACGAATAACTCTTTTTTCTGGGAAATTCTCACCAAAATGCTTTTGAACGCTTGTAAACAATATAATGAGCTGTCACTGGAATAATTTTAAGAGCTGTCGGACGAGTGGTCTAGGATTGATAGCAGTCGAAAGTTGGTTGCAGTTTTTTCATCTCACCCTGTATAGGTTCTTTTGTAGGGGACCAATATTTCGAGGTATTACATAATTTTTTGAATTTTTTGGGAACCAAAAAAAATTACACAACGTCTGAATTTTTACGAGTTTGGCAATAAATTATTAAATTAAAAAATCTATAATCTAAGCTCTCCATTTTTTTTGACCCACAATGTTTTCTTGTGTAGCTATTTACCTACAAATATTTATCTAAAACATTGGTTGGCAGGGTTATGTTACAAATACTCATACAGCCACATGTGCCCAATCATATACACGCCCATCCACTTTGGTGTCATATTTCCCCAAAAGCAAACCTTTGACATTACCACAAGTCAAGTATGTATATGTGTACACACACGTATACATATATTTATGCATTGAGCACATATCAATCCACAAATACTTAACAATTCGTCATATACAAAAAGATTGTATCGTCGACAACACACACGCACATGCATACGACAACAATAATAAAAAAATCAATAGCAATTTATTATTCATTATTTTATCTGGAGCCTCAAATATAAATATGTTGTGAAATATTCATTCGATTTTATTGCCAGATAATAAAAATAAAATA